CTTCAGGTTGTGTGTGTGTGTGTGTGTGTGGCAGATGCTGTGTTGGTAATGGACAAGCAATGATGATGCTCCAGCTGTGGGCATTTGGACTGGGTTGCCCACAGTCTAGGTGGGAGGCAGGTAAGGACCAGGTAACAGAAGATTAAAATAAAAGCTTCTGTGGCTACAATGGTGAGTCTATAGCTTGTCAACCTAGATTTAACAAAAAGTCAGGAAAATCCAGCAGAATCATTTCAAAACTTTATCTTACTAACTAGCTTATTGAGTTAAAAAAAAAAAAAAAGTTATATACTTACATCTGTATGCCTTTTATTTTATTTTCTTACCCTATTGCTCTGGTTGTGATTCCAAACTATATTGAATAAAACTGTTAGAAGTGAACATCTTTGTCTTATTCCCATTCTTAGGGAGAAAGCATTTAGTCTTTCACAATTAAGTATAATGTCAGTGGTAAACCTGTGGTTTTCACTCTTGGCCAAGTATCAGAGAATAAAGCTCTTTGAATAGAAACTTAAATGGAATTTAGATATTGGAGTGGGGAGAAACTGTGTCACTTTTGCCTACCTCATGTCTCCCTGCCTCCTCATATAACAATGCTTTGATTTTTCCCTTAGGGGAAGCCAACATTCCCCCACCACCACAGTTCTAGCAGAGTGGGCAGGTGAGTCAGGTCTGGTCAAATCATCTATCCCACCCTCTGGTCCAAGATTTAGTCCAAGAAAATTCAAATATGGGACTTCTTTAGAATTATTACATAAGGCTCTCTTTCCACTAGACTTATAGATTAGGGATCAACAAAGTATGACCCATGACTAAAATCTGGCTTCTACCTGTTTTTGTAAATAAAGTTTTACTGAAATATAGCAAGGGGCGCCTGGGTGGCTCAGCCATTAAGCATCTGCCTTCAGCTCAAGTCATGATTCCTGGGTCCTAGGATCGAGCCCCACATCAGGTTCCCTGCTCAGCAGAAAGCCTTCTTCTCCCTCTCCCACTCCTCCTGCTCGTGTTCCCTCTCTCGCTGTGTCTCTTTCTGTCAAATAAATAAAATCTTTAAAAAGAAAGAAAGAAAGAAAGAAAGAAAGAAAGAAAGAAAGAAAGAAAGAAAGAAAGAAAGAAAGAAAGAAAGAAATATAGCCATACCCATTCATTTACACATTGTCTATGGCTGCTTTTGAGCTACAACAGCAAAGTTGAGTAGCTGCAATAGTGACCATAATGCTCCTAAAGCCTAAAATAATTACTACCTGGCCTATTAACAGAGTAAGTTTCCTGACTCTGTTCTTGATAATATAATGTAAGCCTGGAACAGTCTGAAAGCCTATCATCACTATCTGGAAAGAACCTACTAGAAATGACACCAACACAAAAGAAACCAACTCCAATATTATAGAAGTTTCTGGATTCAGATGGGCCAGAACTATTATACCCTAACTTTTCTTTTTAAGTTCCATAAGCCAATAAATTCAGCTTTTTCTCAGGCCAGGCCAAGTATAAATGAGGCTTCCTTCATTTGAATTCAAATTTGCAACATAGATAAAAACTATAATGCTCATTTCAGAACCACAACTCTAATTTCTTCCTCCATCATATATCCATGAACACCATAAAGATATTCAAAATTTCTTTTCAACTAGAAAGTCACTGAGCACTAAAAACTGTAATTTATATAACAATTAGCTAAAACAGTGTAAAATTAACTAATCAACTCCAAAATCAAACAGGCCTCATTTAGACTGTTTTTCCAACCAACCATCCTAAAGTGTTATTAAACGATAAAAGAACAAAAAGGATGCAAACCAGTTACCCGCCTCCAAAAAAAAAAAAAAGATGCAACACCGAATAATCATTCACAGAATAATTGAGCTCTAAGTACAAAAACAAAAGTTAGGTGCTGCCATTATAATCTCCCTGATACACGGCTAATACTCCAAGACCAGTTAGGGAAACAGGTTTCTGCTTCCCTTACCAAAGTGAAAACTTCTAAGGGGATAGATTTAACTAATTAGGGAGAGTGTGATTAAAACTGGAGCTGCTAATTGTCTACTGGGTATATATTTCCAAGAATGTTCCCTAGAGGCTCTAAGCAATGGGAGACAAAATTAAGCCTAATATTCCTGCCATTTGTGCAGTTATCAACTGTCTGTTTCTCTCTCTTCAGGAAACTTAAAAGTACACAGAGATGTGGTTCTCAATGCAAGCTATATGTTCCTGTGAGGAAATAATTTTATATTATGTTTAGAAACAGAATTACTTTGTGTTTAAACTTGTTTTAATGTGTACATTCTGGAGCAAGGAGATGTTTCTTTCAACAGCATGCTTTCCATCTGAAGAAGCCAGATGTTAATCTGCAGGAAAACTCAAGTGGTTAGTAAGACCAATTACATACAGACAGAGAACAAATATCAAATGGTAGGGAGAGGGAGGAAGGGGAGGTTTAAAATGGAGTTGGTGAAGCAGTTGTAGAACTGCAGCTTACGGGGGGTGGGGAGACCCCAAAACAGTGGGGTTTTTATCCATTCCAAGAATAGTATGCCCTGACAAGATTTTTTCTTCCTGAGTACTTCCTCCCCTAGAATTGAAGAATCCTTCAAGAAACTCAGATAAAGTATTATAAAAAGGAAATGAGTGAGAATTCCTGAAGGCAATTTCACATTTCATCTCTATCAATGATAAAAACCAAACATGTCTAGGGCTTCACATGGGTTCAAATTCTACCTCTGCCACTGTGATGGAAACTGTCAACCACCCTACAGTCTTCTTTCTCTTCTTCTTCCTGGAAGTGACAAAATACCCAGTACTGGCTGAGCCCATGGCTGCCTATGTTCGACCTAGACTTCCCATCCTCCTCCGTAGACAGATGTGGCCACTGTAAGTATGTTAGGGCCAATGGAAATGATGTGTGCACCCTCTGGGTCCTGGATACTTTCATCTCCATTATCCGGCTGAAAAACAGCAATGACTAGTAGAGCAATCTGGAAAGTCATGGGTTGAGTATGGCAGAATGACCCTGCAAAGCACCGACTGCTCACTTCCAGGCTTGGAGAAATCAACTTCTATGTTATTTAAGCTACTACACTTTGGAGTCTCCTTGTTATGGCAACCTAACCCACACCCTACCACTATAGTCGCTTACTGTCTGTGCTACTCAGCCAAGTTATTGAACCTAAGTCTCACTTTCCTCAACTGTAAAATGGTAGTATTTTGTGATGTCTTAAGATTATACTTATTTAATAAGGTAGTAAGAAGAATAAATGGGTTAAGACATGTAATATGCCAAATCTGTGACTTACAAACACAAAAGTGCTCAATTCAGGGTAGGTGATGGTAGCAAAGATAAAGGACAACTTAGGAAGTGGCTTTCAAAGGCTTCTGACAGCAAGCAGCTATTGTGCCCACAAAACTCTAATGGTAGAAATGTCTACCTGCTATATATATAGCAGATAGTGCCTTCTCTTCCAGCCTCTTTGGTCTTGGCTGCAGAAACCAGATGACAAAGGGGACGTCTTCATTTGAAAAGCGCCATGTTAAGATGCACACGTTGTGTCCCCGCTGTGGCTCTAAGGCCTACCACCTTCAGAAGTTGACCTGTGACAAGTGTGGCTATCCTGCCAAGTGGAAGAGAAAGTATAATGGAGTGCCAAGGCTAAAAGATGAAATACCACTGGGACCGGTCAAACAGGCACCTAAAAGTTGTCTACTGCAGATTCAGGCCTGGACTCTGTAAAGAAACACCACCTCAACCCAAGAAGGGAGCTGTGGCAGCATCCAGTTCATCTTAAGGATTTCAACAATTAGTCACACAATAAATGTCCTGGTTAAAAAAAAAAAAAAGAATAGAAATGTGTATCTGCTTTGAGAGTGTCTATCAGTAACAATGTACTCGGAGAAAACAAGAGGTATCTTACATGTAGTGCAGAAGAATTAAGACTGAATAATGTTCAATTCGAATTTAGCTGTTCCAAACTCTTTAAGTGGTTCTTTAAATCTTGCTCTATGTTATTAAACGCTATCCAAACACTAGTTATTTGTTTCTGCTCAGTTGAAGGAATGGAGTTTCATGTTTATATACAAAATAGCTAAGTAGAAAGATACATTCATCAATATAGATCACCTAACCTGGGTAGGCTGAGAAAGAAACATACAAATGAACTGGAATCATCTATACTGGATACCCACCTCGATGCAAAGAGTTCTGTACTCAATGAAGGCTATGGCCTGATGGCCTTGCACACATTCTCCCCTCTGGATTGTGCCTTTGCAAGTGATAACTACTGGCCCTCTGACACTGTGGATTCTTTTTATCTTTTGTTTGTGGGACATGAGTAGAATGTACTCCTAGCATTTCTATAACCCTGATATCTGTTGAACACTGCAGTTGAGATCTTTGGCACCAGGGCCCTGATGTGAGTTTTACATGTCACAAGACGCAAAAAAACCATGAGACTACATCAACCAGCAAAGGCCAGCATTTCGAAAATGGGAGCACAGATCACACTACCAAGGCTTAAATCCTTCCATCTACACTGATAATGCCACTGTGTATAATGGGATGTGGGCTACTGTGGCAAGGGGAGGCTGAACCAGAAAGTGATGAAAAAAAAAAAACACAACATAATCTGTATACACTTTTATAATCATTTATCCTACTCAAATAGGTTTGAGATAACGCTTTGCATCCTACTCCATGGACACATCAATATTCAGTAAGCCAGACTCTGCCTCCTCTAAGAGACCTAAGGACACTACAGTTGCCTTGGCCAAGGGGAGTATCACATAGCCTGAAAGGCCTGAAGGACTGAGAGGCCAAAGCTCAGGGACTGCAGCCACACAGAAGCAATATCATTATTGAAGAAAGTTAGTTCAAGAGTAAAAGATGCCCTCTGATACATTGGTCTTGAGAAACCAAGGCTTTAGATCAAGAGAAAAAATCACTGCACTTGGGAAGCAACAAACAACTCACAGTCTATATTTCTGTTCTACTTCCCTGAATTGTTACTTACAGGCTCCCGGCCATCCATGGCTTCCATCCAGAGCCTCCGGTCCTCTTCCGACAACGCCTGCATGGTGATAACCCCTGGCCTGTGGAGAAAGGAGGACACAGACATGAACCCAGTGCCACAGGTACAGAGATCTTGACGAAGGTGAAACTTCAAGAAACACCCATACAACAGAGTGAGGGGTTGCTGGGATTCACAACACGAAGTCAGGCACACACACAGCTTTTCAGAGCTGCCTTCAAGTCTCAGAAAGCGAAGTCATCTCCTGAATGCCCCTCAGTAAACCCATCTCCCTCAGGGAGCTAGGAAAAAACACAGCAGACGTGAACAGGGTACGGCCAGGCCCACATGTGTTTCATTACCATACTGTTAAGGGACACAAATGATTAAAGTGATTCCTTTAGATCCTGTTTGTTTCTTGAGGCCTTATTCACTCCTATTCTCCAAAATGCCTAACAGAGAATTTTACTCACAGTAGGATTGCAATTCATACATATTGAAGTGAACAGAATTACTGGACTCAAGATTAAAAAGAGGTGAAACAACCAAGCTGGTGTGACCCTGGTCTCCTAACCTCTAAGCTAAGGCTTCTAAACTCCTTCTGACATGGAGATATTTTATGAAGGTAACTGGCTTTGTAATTATATTAAATGTATGTCATTTTTTAAGTGAATACTTGTCATGTCAGGTAATAAGTTCTTTACATGCATTACCTCTTTTCACCCTCTCATTGAAATCTGCTTGCTCTTTCTAACTGAACACAAACCCTCCAGAAAGCTTGCACACAATACCAAATGGTATTTGTTGAGTTCCCCTTACAGATGGCATTCTACAAATAGAGACCTGAGCCATGAAAATGTCCTTGGGAGATGGGGCTAAAAGCCCTCTGTGCTCACTAAAGCAGGAGTTCTTAGGGTCCACAGATGGGTCCAAGAGAGTCTATAAACCACACTTCCATCTCCAAATGTATATATATTTTTCTGTATTGACAGTTCAACCTCACTCATTATCAAAAAAGACTGCAACCCTCAAAAAGTTAAGAACTACTGATTTAAATCCTCATCTTTAAAGTTTGAGAAAGCCTAAAAGGAATTAAGAGGTCCATCGAGCAAGAATGAAGTCCTATTGCCATCTGAGTCTGTGGTACCATTAATGATCCCAGAACAGTATGGTAATGAAACACATATGGGTCTGGCCATACCCTGTTCATCAAGAGTCTATTCATTCTGACCCATATATAATCACTGGTCCTGACTTATTTCCACAGTTCCATTGAATATGCTAGATCTATTCATGTTGAACGTATTTTAAGTATTACATCTGCTTCTTTTCATTGATTATCCCTCAATATCCTTTAAGGAAAAACATTTCCAAAGATGTAAGCATGTAAGTACAAGGGGTTTGGGGACTCGAGGGGCACTGGGGTGTGGTGTAAGTGTGTATGCACGTGTTGTGTGTATGTACGGGTGGAGGTGGACAATAGTGGTGGTAGCTGGGTATGCAGGTGGATGAGTGAAGGTGTTGAGTCTGAGGACATTAATTCCCCAGAGGCAGTCCTTCCTGTGAAGGCCATCCTGAGCAGTGGCACCCTAACACAGAGAGGACTCAGAAAATACGGTAAGCCTTTTCTCCACAGCCCCTGCCAGGGCCCTCCCTCCTCTTCTCAGAAATTCTCATTCTCAGATCCAAATGCCCATTTCCCACCATGAGCCCATTCAGTGCACCAGACCCACTGTCTGCAGACTACTGGCAGTCATGGCTCTACAGAGCTGATCCTTGGCTTGCAGGCATGGCAGACTGATTCTACTCTTCAACCTCAAGCGCAATGATTTAATGGCTTAGAGAAAAAAGTCTATGAACCTGCAGTCCCACTGCACAACTCTCAAGTCCCTGGACCTGAATCTTTGAGTGTTGCTCAAAGTGTTGTGCCTGGACCACCAGCTTCAGAATCAGGCATTCCCTTAAAATGGAGATTCTCAACCTGAAACCACCTTTCTGGGCTGGGCCTGGGAACTTGGATTTTAACCAACTCCCCAGGTGATCCTGATGCACAGTTAGGTCTGAGACCCACTGCCCTGGGATGCCCACAGGCCCCCACCCTTTCCTTCCTGTCCCCCCACACTAAAGAGCAAAGACACTCTCCGGTATACACTAGGGTCAAGCAGCCAACAAGTCTCCAGTTCATTTCCTGCTAGGTGCTCACCAGCAAACAGTGAGACCAAAATAGTTGCCTAGCATACCAAGATTTTAGGGACCCTGCAGATGTCACATCAACTTCATGGCACACAGTGTGAGATTTCCACCCAGAGCCACAAAGAGGAAGTTCAGACAAACTCAGAGGCCACTTGGCCTTAGTAACCAGGAAAGTCAACAGGATTTGTTTTCATTTCAAGAAGAAATATCAAAATGTAAGTTCTTTTCCACATGTGGTTTTGTTCCCCTTTTTTGTAGGAGGGGGTAGTACAGAACTGAATAAAGTGGATTTAATATGCTTAGTTCTAATCCTGCCACCCCTCCCCACCAAGTTCAGGTAATTTTCTCTCAGTCTCATGTACGTATATCTGGATCACAGTACTATCCTTTCTAGGCATCTAGAAAACACTCCTCCGGCTCCAAGTTTCTGTTCCTTCATTACAATTTAAACCGTAATTACATAAATCTCTTATGTGTGAATTTCCAAGAACCAAGGTGAAAGAGTCAACTTTATTTTGGAATCAAGCAGTAAGTTTCTTTCCATATTCCCCCTCCCTATGTCCCTACTAGCCACCATTCCTCAAAACAAAATAAAGCAAGCAAAACTCCCTATGACCCTGTACTTTCCATGTCAGTCCCTATAAGACAGCATACTTTTCTAGGTGCATCAGCTTAGTTCATGTTTTAAGTGCATCTAGCTTTTCATAACAAAAATGGAGAGGAGGAAAGAGAAACAGAACTCTCCAGAGGGGAGTGTACAATGAAAAAGGGAAAATATAAAACAATGAAAGAGAACTGGAGTAAATGAGCTCTCTCCAGCTCTACAAAGAATCATGATACTATCAAACATCATAATGGAATAAAAACTATAAAATAATAACCTAGGAGGGTATGTCAGATACTGTGCTAAGCACTATATATAAATTAATTCATTTAATCCTGACAACTACATCATGAGGTAGGTATACTCTCATTATCCCATTGGGCAGATAAAAAAAAAAACAAGGCTCAACTAGGTTAAGTACCTTGTCCACAGTCACAGAGCCAGGATCTCAACCCAGCAGTCTATTGCTTCATCCTTGCAAACAAGACCACAGCAAATGTGAAGGTGCCCTAGTCCACAGAGAGCAGATATTGAACACCCAAGTTCTCTGCCATCAAAAAGGACCAGGCCCTCCTCTAAGTACCACAGAGAGTTCCTGCATGGTATCAAATAAGATCAAACAATAAAGGGCTCTGTAAAGCCTAAAGTGTTTCATAAATATGATCACAACCAGAACACCATTCAAACAGCCAATCCAAAAAAGAATATGATGATGTCCAGTGTGACTATGGCTCACTTTCTACAGCAGTGGTTCTCCACATTTTTTCTGCCTCAAAATACTCAAGACATGGAAAGGTGATGAGTTTTTTAAAAAAACACAAAAAACACTAATCATGGTGGCGCCTGAGTGGCTCAGTCTGTTAAGCATCTGCCTTCAGCTCAGGGTCCTGAGATCAGGCTCCCTGCTCAGTGGAGAGTCTGCTTCCCCCTCTCCCACTGCCCCTCCCCCCACCCATGCTCTCTCTCAGACAAATAAGTAAAATCTTTAAAAAAATAAAATTTGAAAGAAAGCAGTAATCATAAAGAAAAAATATGAGGAAATTAGGCTTCACCAAAATGAGTAATTTTCATTCATAAAAAGGTACCATTAAAAGAGTGAAAGGCAAACTACAGAGAAAGAGAAGATGTTGTAGTTTATATCTCCAGTGAGACTCTTAACCAGAATATGTAAAGAATGCCAACAAATAAGAAAAAAATGAGCCTAATTAATAAAATGGATAAAAGACATGAATAGGTGCTTCGAAGGACACACAAATGGCCAACAAACATAAGAAACAGGGCCCAACATGATGTCTCTTCAAGGAAATGCAAATGAAACCACAATGAAATAGAACAAACACCCATTAAATGGACAGCATTCCGAAGACCACTAATACCAAGTACTGGCAAGAATGCGGAGCTAGTGGAACTCTCATACACTGCTAGAAACAGAACTGATAACACCATTTTGACGTTATCTACTAAAACTAAACATATACCTCACCTGCTGCATGACCTAGCAATTCTACCTCCTATGCATACATCCAAGAGAAATGAGTGCAGATGTCCATCAAAAGACACATTCAAGAATGCTGTTTTATTCTTAACGGCCAAGCTTTACAACAAAAAACTCAAATGTCCATCTACGAGAATAAATTATTTATATTTGAAATAATGAAAGAAAGAATCCAGACACAAACTACTAACAGTATGAGTCCACTGATACCATGTTCAAACACTAGTCCAAGTCATCTATGGTGACAGAATTCAGAACAGTGATTTCATCTTGCGGAACAGGTATGATGATGACTGGAAGGAAACCTCCTCAGGTAATAGCAATGTTCTATAACCTGATCTGGGTGATTATAGGTACAGGGGTTGGGGGGTAGTCATAAAGATACAGACTTAAGATTTGTGCATCTTACTGTGATTACACCTCAATTAAAAAAAAAAAAAAAAAGCCTTTTAAATACCGAAGAGATAGGCCTTGTCATCAGTAACTTAGGCTCACTAGTTATCCTGACGCTGGTGCTTCGTAGCCGTGTAAGGGCCTAGTGGACAAGTAACTGAACTACTCTATACTCTTCTTTACGATGCAGATTTAAACAGTACCTACTTCAAGGAGTCACTGTGAAGGTTAAATGAGATATTTATAAAGTGTTTCAAAGTGTCAGACACACTGTAAATGCTCCAAAAATTAGTTGTTATCACTGGGGCAAATGGAGGGGGTTGGTGGAGGGGAAAAGATGGCAAGTGTGCAGGAGGATCAAAATTATGGAGGAAGAAGGGCAGGTGTATATAGTTTA